TTTTAACTTATATTTTAAAAGTATAAAATTATAAAAATTTATGTAATTTAAAATAAAAAATTTTTGCGTGTTATGTTTAATTTCATTGATTAGGAGTTTGGTACCATTTACTTGTTGCCTTCGTGCAACGCCATATAATATTTTATTTATAATAGCTCTGTCGTGCCGCTGAGGCAATAGGTGCTTAACACAAAGCTGCTTGTCTTCATTTTTTTTTTCTTTTTTTTTTTTAATACAAAAGCTGCTTATCTTCTTAATTCTTTAATATTATTTTTTGTTTGAATTCAACCTAGGAGTTTTACCTACTCCCAAGAACATGAGACGCTGTTTTCCCAAAAAATAAAAAATAAAAAAAAAGAGAGAGAGAGACGTGCGCTCTATTAATAAATTCTTCATATTTTTACCATAATATAAGATTTTTATAATGTTAAATTTTTTTATCAATGATTTAAATAATTAATTAGTTATCTCATTTTACTAAAAGTAAAAAATTTTAAATTTGAATAAAATGACATGCTAATGGAGTGAGATAAAAAATGAAAGATAATTACTTTTTATTATGCAATAAAGATAAAAAAAAATTATAATAATGTTAATTTTTTATCACATTTTGTTACATTAATATATGTCCTCAAAGGTAATCGAGATCTTCGTATTATCAAAAAAACTACCTATGCACACGCATATACACATGTCATCCATTTATAAAACATTGTGTATCTCAAATTTTAAGTTTCAATATCACAATTTCAATCGTGTTATATAGGGTTCGTTTGTTACAGTGCTTTGGTAAATTTATAGGTATGAATTATGTATTTGATAAAATTTTTTATTTAATGATTTAGAACTAATATATATTGATTAAAGTTCAAATTGCTAATAAATTGAAAGAGTTACTTATACCTGATTGTGCTACTCAATTGAAATGTCATAATGTTATGAAAAATGTTATCCATTTTAAATATATAATTTTTTGTCACAGCCTATATTTATTAATTACTTAATTGGTTTCAATTTTATTTTTTCTTTAATAATATTAAATGATTATTACT